ATGTATGCTTGAAGAAGATGACAGTCTGGGATTGCGTCTTTCATTCCGACAGAAGACATGTTTTATTGTCGATGGTAGAGACAGCACGAACAACACAAACAACAGAATGCGTGTGTATTATACAGAGCGGAGGCATGGAGACCTCCAATCAGCAGCTGCCACAGTGCCATGTAGCTTGGCCTTCAGATAGACACAACAAGGGAAAAGTACAGGCTTCTGCACATTGATAGAATGATGAGTTTAACTTTAACAAAAGTTGCTTAAAAGTGTTATGAAATCTCACATGCTTCTGAACTAGTTAGTTTTTGTCTGATTTTCCACAAAAGATAAGGACGTTGATTTGATGACGTGGATCAGATATGTTGCACATTTGTCAAAGCTGAAGCTACGACTGGTTATGATTGGACTGTTTTCGATTCCAAACTAAAAAACAGGTTACTCTGTTTGAGAAAGAATTATGTTTGGGTGTTCTAAGATATAGAAATAGTCATGTAAACAACTACAGTTTCCTGCAGAGTAACATCGGGACATTTGATTAGAATCTCATTCTGCAAATTCTTTTTTCAAGTAAATCTTGAGGGTTGTTAGACTGTGTTCACTGTGGTTTTTATGTACTACAGAAAACAACCCAAAGGTCTGTGTATTCTGTATATTTTCAACATTTAGAAATAATTGTAGTTTTGTAAGGATTAGACAGTGAAGAAGATGACAAAGTCTGGGATCGTGTCTTTAATTCAGACAGAAGACATGTTTTATTGTCGACGGTAGAGACAGCACGAACAACGCCAGAATGCAAGTGTATTATACAGGATGGAGGGATGCAGTCCTCCAATCAGCAGCTGCCACGGTGCCCTGTAGCTTGGCCTTCAGAAGTCAAAACAAGGGAAAAGTACTGGCTCGTGCAAATGTAATAAGGGTGAGTTTGAACTTTAACAATAGTTGCTTCAAAGTGTTATGAAATCTCACAACAGCGATTTGGCCTAAGTCAGGACAAGCACAAGACTGTTCAAGGACTCTGATTGTGTATCCATGTTTTGACTATGTTTTGCTCTGACTGTCTCTGAATGACACGTATGTCTTTCGATGTGTGACGTGATAATGACTATATGGATCATGTACTGACTCCATTCTGTCTGAGAGAAAGAAACAACGGAAACCACTGGAACTTGAGAGAAACATAATAAACTTCCAGAGCTTGGCGCACCACGATCCGTCTCTGTCTGGTTCATTCCTGACAGTTTATCAAGTTCCTAAAAAGTAATCAAATTTCACATATAAGAAGTTACTTGGCCAAATGTGTACATCCAGGAGCTGTTAGGAGATTTCATGACACTTTGAAGCAACTGTGGGGAAAGTTAAACTCATTATTATAAAAATATGCACGAGGCAGTACTTTTCCATTTAGCATTATTTTTCCATGTTTTGGTTTTCTCAAAGTTGAAGCTCACGACACCGTGGAAAATGCTGATTGGACAGTGTATAACATCACTGGCCTTCTGCATCATACAATAAAACATGTCTTTTGTCTGAATTAAAGACACAATCCTCAGACTTTGTCGTTTTCTTCAGCTGTTTCCAGACTTTTCATGAACTTTTAAATGCGTTCACGTTGTTAAGCACATTGGGTTTCATATTTGTATGGAACTTGAAATACAGTACAGATAGTAATATAATAATAATTAAAATCAATAGCAATAGTTTTTTCTGTTCAATCCATGTTTTTATTTCCTTTTTTAAAATTAAAAACAAGAATAAAAAGTACTAATCTCTTAATCTCGTTAATGTGAAAATATTCAAAAGGAGCTATGGTCAGTTATTATTGGCGGTGGTAGATACTGAGGGGAACTGCAGTGTTTTTCCTGGGTATAAAACTGTAATTTGATTTTTTTTTAAATATTTCAATTTGATTTGATGCAACAATAAAAATGCCCAGACCTTCTCTACCATTTTCTCAGTGTGTCAAGTTGTGTTTTTACCGTCTTTGTACCATTACATTAAACCATTATTCGTGACAATAACTATAGATATGTCTTGTTATTGAAATCTTTTAGTAAAGCAATCTGAATTAACACGAAATAGTTATAAGTGTAAGTTATTCACTAATTCTCAACTCAGATACAGGCAGCACATGGTCTGTCTGCAGCCAGGTCAGCTGATAGAAGGAGTCTTTGACCTCATCTGGGTCAAAAAACAATATGTTCAGGTCAAAGCAGATTATTACAAGTATTAGAGAGTGTAAAGAGAAACATATCAATACTGACTTCATTGTGTAATATTTAGAGTAGATATGTCTTAGTTTACTCTGGTCCAGTCATTTCCTCATTCGTGGCAGACGGTTTCAGACGGCTGCCCGGTGGTGTTGGTATCGGTTCTGTTATTCATTGTATATGGCAAGGCAAGGCAAGTTTATTTATATAGCACAATTCATACACAAGGCAATTCAAAGTGCTGAACAAAATAAGAAAGCATTAAAATCAAAAATAATCACAGAACATTAAAAAGAAAGATAAAAATATAAAATCCCTCAGTTGTAGCACAGCTAAACAGAATTGTCTTTAACCTGGTTTTAAACATTGTCAGAGAGGAGGCCTGTCTCACATCTTCAGGAAGACTGTTCCAGATTTTAGCAGCATGAATCTGAAAAGCAGCCTCCCCATGTTTAGTTCTGACTCTGGGCACTAACAGGAGTCCAGTCCCTGTGCTCCTCAGAGTCCCAGCAGGAGTCCAGTCCCTGTGCTCCTCAGAGTCCCAGCAGGAGTCCAGTCCCTGTGCTCCTCAGAGTCCCAGCAGGAGTCCAGTCCCTGTGCTCCTCAGAGTCCCAGCAGGAGTCCAGTCCCTGTGCTCCTCAGAGTCCCAGCAGGAGGCCAGTCCCTGTGCTCCTCAGAGTCCCAGCAGGAGTCCAGTCCCTGTGCTCCTCAGAGTCCCAGCAGGAGTCCAGTCCCTGTGCTCCTCAGAGTCCCAGCAGGAGTCCAGTCCCTGTGCTCCTCAGAGTCCCAGCAGGAGTCCAGTCCCTGTGCTCCTCAGAGTCCCAGCAGGAGTCCAGTCCCTGTGCTCCTCAGAGTCCCAGCAGGAGTCCAGTCCCTGTGCTCCTCAGAGTCCGGGCTGGTTCATATGGGACTAACATGTCACTAATATATTTTGGTGCGAGGCCATGGAGAGACTTGTAACAAGCAGAGCTGTTTTAAAGTCTATTCTCTGAGCCACAGGAAGCCAGTGCAGAGACCTGAGAACTGGACTAATGTGGTCGTACTTCCTGGTTCTAGTCAGGACTAATGTGGTCGTACTTCCTGGTTCTTGTCAGGACTAATGTGGTCGTACTTCCTGGTTCTAGTCAGGAATAATGTGGTCGTACTTCCTGGTTCTAGTCAGGACTAATGTGGTCGTACTTCCTGGTTCTAGTCAGGACTAATGTGGTCGTACTTCCTGGTTCTAGTCAGGACTAATATGGTCGTACTTCCTGGTTCTAGTCAGGACTAATGTGGTCGTACTTCCTGGTTCTAGTCAGGACTAATGTGGTCGTACTTCCTGGTTCTAGTCAGGACTAATATGGTCGTACTTCCTGGTTCTAGTCAGGACTAATATGGTCGTACTTCCTGGTTCTTGTCAGGACTGGAGCTGCTGCATTTTGAATGTACTGCAGCTGTTTTACAGCCTGTTTGGACAGACCTGTGAGCAGGCCATTGCAGTAGTCTAACCTACTGGAGACAAATGCATGGATAAGAATCTCTAAGTCTGCTTTAGACACTATGTTTTTGATCCTGGCAATGTTTTTTAGATGGTAAAAAGCTGCTGATGTTACTGATTTGATGTGGCTATTAAAATTTAAGTCCAGTATATGTGCACATTTACTAATGAAAAAACTCACACTTTGATTGTATTACAGCTCTTGGTTGTTTACATTATTATTGTTCTCGGTCTGTGCAGAATTTTCATAACGGTCTCAACCATCTCTAGCTTACTGTTAGGATTAGATAGTGCAGATACGTGCAGGACAAGCACAAGACTGTACCAGGACTCTGATGACTCCATGTTTTGACTATGATACACTCGTGACTGTCTCTGTGTGACACGTATGTCTTTCGATGTGTGACGTGACAATGACTATATAAACTGTGTACTGCCTTTATTCTGTCTGAAAGAACTGAGAGAAAGAAACAATTGAAACCACTGGAACTTGAGAGAAACCAAAATAAACTTCCAGAGTTTGGCGCACCACGATCCGTCTCTGTCTGCTTCATCCCTGGCATTACTCATAAAATAAGTACAAATCTTCAGTATTTTTGTTTGTGGTAAAAAGTTTTATTTCCAGTCTTCAGTGTGCATGTACAAATATCTATAAAAAGTGAAAGTTTCACTCTTTTCATATGTACATTCTACTGCACTATTCGCTGCTTAGGATAGACAGGCGACCGAAGCAGAGAAAGAAAACATTGTACAATAGTTTACTGGCTTCACCTTCACCATATAGACTTTATCTGGTATTAAAAGTGCTTAAGAGTTCACGTTTACATTCCTCCAGCAACAATACAAGAAGGAGGCAGAAGCATTGTTCCAAACACTGTACAGTCAATCCATGCAACAGATATTGTCAAGCTCTTTATTAAAATAACATCCACATACCATGTTTAGCATTCAGAAATAAAAAATAAACTTGTTTTATCCGTGTGATGCTGCTGGGTAACTGTTTGGTCAGAAATATATGTCCAAAGTACAAGAGAGGAACACCTGTTTATGAGTTATAATTGGGTTTTGAGACACATTCTTTGGAAGTAGCTGCAAAAATAAGGGTATTTGTTGTAGTGGAAAAGTTGCCATTCATAGAAAGATAACTTTAAAATCAAGGAGAAAGTGAAATAAATCATCACACTACCTAATATACATCTGTGGATTTATAAAAGCGGGTAGTAAAGGGAAAGAGGAAACATTCAGGAATCAGCTTATCAGTCCTTTGCCACAAGTTTGATTATCGTGCATGCAGTGTCAAATCCAGTGTCGACATTTCACTTGTGATTTCTCTGATAAGGAAGAGTGGAGTCGTCAAACAATGGGTTCTTCACCTCCATCTCTCCAGTCTGTTTGAACACAAATTAGTATCAGTACATCATGTGACAAAAGCGCTGATGAAAGAGTTACATCTTCATACAAAACATAATCCTGGGAAAACTCTAAACATGTGGATTTTAGTTTAGTATGCATGTGTTGGTTAGTAGTGCAGGGAACATGACAAAACAGGTGAAAGAGATTCTAGTCCTTCATAACTGCACTTTTAAAACACTGGACAGAAACAACAAGGTCTACTGTATACGTCCCACAAAAACTGTCATATTCATGTGTTTCATATTGTTATACCTTGACACCTCTTCTCAAAGATGTCTGAGATATAATCTGACATATGTGTTTCATATCTTTGCTAAGATGACGATAATTAATGCGGCAAATAAACTGGTCAACTGTGCAAACGTTCCCACTGTCTCTGATTGTCTTTGATTTACACCCATGGAAGTGTATAAAGGGGATAGATTTAAGTGGATTAAGTGGATAAATGCGAAATGAATTGTTGATCCAGACTATTATGATGAGTGCCTAATCACTAATTAACTAATAAAACATTGACCAAACATATATCATGCAGTATATTGTCCTCACCGGGGCCAATCCGGGACATTCGTACACCGTGAAGTCTCCTCCCACCTCTTCCTCATCAGATGTAACATCAGTGTCAACAACTTTTGGTTCAGGCTTTTGTCTTTGAAAATAACACACACCCAGATCACATGTTAGAATAAATAATAATAAAAAAGACCAGAAATAAACAGTACTAACTTTCCCAATGAGAGCATCTGCTGCTTCTGGTGCTGGTAGTGGAACATCTGAGCATTTTGTGCCAGTGAATGGTCGAGCGGCTGCAGAGAGAAAAAAAAGTGTGAATTAAAGTATTTTTACTTAAGCACTGTTAACCTTTCTGACAACTTTTTAATTTGACTTTTGTACTCCATGAAGATACAACATAAAAACAAGTTCAACATGTTTTATTCATTGTCATATGGTCTGCCAGTATGAAACATTTACACAACTTTAAACATGAGCAGTTTATAGAAAATGTCGAAAATGTTTTTATTTAATGTTTGTAATTCAACGTACAATATGACGATACTATAAAATAGACTTAGTACACATAAAGTGAGATTTATAAAGCATTTATTTGTTGATAAATATCTCATAACTTGGACTTTGAGCCTTAACTCTCAAAACTATACTTAACAAAGACTTTTTAAGTTAACTTACAGAAACAAATTAACTTTAGAAAAATATTCTAATTTAACTAATATTATTCCACAAAAATACACTTGCAGTTGCCAGAACTCCCCGCGGCTAGCTAATGTCACGGGTAAAGGTGAGATTAACATGTGGCCGCAGGACCAAAAAAGGTCTTGTTATGGTTCTCAAATCATTAATGAAAAAACAAACGAGGATGTATATTGGGACACCTTTGAAACCTTGAAAAATGTGGCTAAAAGTCTAATCTCTCATTTGGCCCTTGGTGTTTAAATAGTCAAATAACTGGCTATCATGGCAATGTGAATGGAGACAGACAAGCAACTTGATAAAATAATTCCCTGTGTTTGCTGCTGGTTTTGGTGCATATCTGGCAACCTGAGTCAGGGAGAGTGGGACAGGACTACAAAATATTGAATGGGATTGCAGTACCACTTTTGGCCAGATTTTTACATACAGCCTGATACATATTAGGGTAATCAAAATGATCGTGTCAACGCATGGTAATACATTTTTTTTATTAATTAATTTCATTTCTCTTTCCATTCAAACAACCATTTACAGAATTAATATGGCATAATTTTGCTGATAGTTCGAAATGTGATTAATTATGATTAGTTAATTTCTAAGCAGTAATTAACTCAATAAAATGTTTTAATAGTTAGACAGCAATAATTCATATATATAAATACTTTATATTTATATATATAAATATGAATTTATAGTAATATTTCTATTTTAGAACAGTATTACACAGTCTTAGCTATGCTTACTGAAGGTCCATTGGATTTTACAGGGGCCACAGTGGCTCCTCCGAGTGCTGGGTAGTCCACTTTCCGAGCCAGTTGCGAGTCTCTCTGTAACCTGCAGGGGGCACCACATACCTCAGTCTTTTACAACACAATTCTGCTGTTTATCATAATTAAAGCATATGATTGAACATTCAGAATAGAAGCATAGACTGTATGTATAAAAAGATATACTTACTTAACAGCACAAGCCACTCCCAGAATCACAGCCACAGTCCCAGCCACCACACACACGGAGACAATGACTACAAAAAAGGTAGAAATACAATCGAGGTGAAGGGATTTCTTAAAGCTGGGGTGCCAAACTTTAAAACCAAAACATGGAAACAACACTAGTAGAAACACTAGTTCATCACTAAACAGTTTGGTTCTAGTTTGTGCATGCATGTATTTTTAGCCTGTGTCACATTATTAGATAATCTTTTTTAGATTAGAGAGGACCACCTTCACTCAGCCAATCAGCCCTCCCACCAAAGCATCAAAGGCTCTGTCGGTGAATTAAGTGAAAGATAACATGTTTTCTAATAGGATGAAGACAGCAAGTTGTGGTCTGATTTGTTCACAACATATATTTGTCATGTTGGGACAAACAAATGTATCGGAGAAAGCTTTAAACAAGTGAAGAAAATGACTGAAGATGCAGAGGTCTGAGATTGTGTCTTTGTTGTGACACATAATGTCTATGAAATGCTTGCTCTGTCTTCATTCTGTCTAAAAAAAACCCGAGAAACTGAAACACAGGCCCACAGGCTTTTCTGCGTGAGATTCCGTCTCATTTTGGAAATGTGTCACCGCAGAAGATGTTTGTTGTTGGTAAAAATGACAACCATTTTCCAGTGCCTACCACACCTGCCACAGCAACAATAGATATGTTAGCTTCAACCAAAACATTAAGTGGAAAATCACTGACTTTTTCAAACTATTGTAATGAAAAGATCAATTTTAATATAACAACACAGGTTTAATTGATTGAGTCATGATCCTAGACGTTGAATGAAATAACGTCTACATGTGTAAAAGATTCTTATGGCCACTTAAGTTTGAAGTCAGCTAACATTATGATATCAAACTTAATGTATTGTTAGTATTAGATATTATATTAGTTTTGACTCTGATGTGACTGTCTCTGTGTGACACGTCTTTCCATGTGTGACGTGACAATGACTATATAAACTGTGTACTGCCTTTATTCTGTCTGAGAGAAAGAAACAATGGAATCAACTGGAACTTGAGAGAAACTTAAATAAACTTCCAGAGTTTGGCGCACCACGATCCGTCTCTGTCTGCTTCATTCCTGACAGATTGTTATCATTAATAAACCCAAAATGGTCCGAAAAAACATTTACAAGAGATCGTTTGTCCCGTCTGCAGTCACTTCCCTGAACAACCGGTAGCACTGCATAAATATGTTTTATGAATGATTTTTAATTGTGCCGTGTTGAAAGACAAATCTCTGCTCATTTTGAACAGACAATAAAGATATATTCTATTCTATTCTAAACATATCTCAGTTTTTAAAACAGCAAAATATGTATTTAAAAACAGTTTAGATACTACATGACACTAATAAACCATGGTAGAATCACCAGACATCACTTGAATGTTTTGTTTATATGAAGGCCAAAGCTACTAGCACCGTGGCAGCTGCTGATTGGACCGATTAATAATAACTTGCATTCTGAAAATCTTTGGTTGTGTCTTTGTAACATCAATAAAAATGTCTTCTGCGGCTGTACAGGACCCCAGACCCCGCGTCATTCTCTTCAACAGTATCAGCCCTTGTTCAGCTGAAACACTCTTGTGGCTGGGGTTCCCTTAATGTGACCTAAAGCTTGTTGTCTCTATAGAAATATCAACACCGAAAAACATGAAGATAATAAGAAATGCACTCACCGACAATAATGTGGTCATTGCTGGCACTGGGAGCGACGATAGGCCCCACGCGGGCCCCCACACTGGTGCCAAATGACTGGGTGGGTTTGGAGGTGGGCTCTGCTGTGGTCACCAGGGGTTGTATAGAAGTTTGCACATTTTGCGTTTCCTTTTGAGGTGCAGGATGTAGTTTTGTTTTCTTGAAATCTGACTGGATTGAGATACTAGCTAAAAATACACAAATAAATGATTAAATAGTTTATGAAAGCGTCAAGAGCGCCACTGATTTTAAACTCACCAAAACGGTTGGATTGTTTCTGTTCTGGATTCACTTCGGACAACTGCTGCTTTTCGATGACAGAGCGAAGGAAGTCGATCTCTTCATCCAGATCAAGGTTAACTTCAAGAAAAAGATGTATAAGATACACAATAAAGGTCACACACACTGAGATTCACAATTCATCTAACCCAATACTCTCCAAAAAAGAAAGTATTTGGATTGTCTAATACAGGCCACTATTACTGCATGCTTTTGTTTGGGATTTTTACAGTGCACAGAACAACTTAAAATAGTATAAAGGAATTGTCTGATAAACTCTTTTGATCATGTTTTTAATTTAATTTAATTTAATTTATTCTTCAGCCATCAGCAAAAAATAAGAAAACATTTGACATTCACAGATTGTAAATTATTTACAGACCGAAAGGATTAGGCTGACGTTTAACACTTATTTTGCCTAACCCTATTAACAAATAACAAAATTAAATTTCTTACTTATAACAATTGTAACAAAATGACATACACTGTAGCAGATCCACAGAGCTTAATAAATACTAATTTAATCAAACAAATATTTCTTGTAATTACATTATGTACATAAACACAGAATATGAATAGATTTTTTTGTTTTTTGTTGTTGTTATCCTTTTATGTAATATCTATCTATCTTCTTTTCATTGAAGTCAGGTAGATTTTTTTTAATCCCAAAACGTTGAACTTATACTTCAACAACATCATGGGCGGCACGGTGGCTGAGTGGATAGCACTCTCGCCTCTCAGCAAGAAGGTCCTAGGTTCGAATCCCAGTCGGACCAAGGCCTTTCTGAGTGGAGTTTGCATGTTCTCCCCGTGTCTGCGTAGGTTTCCTCCGGGTACTCCGGTTTCCCCTACCACTAAAAATATGTCCAATAGTTCTGGCATGTGCCTCCTGTACTGGCCCCTCCCATCTCTGTGTGGAGTGAGAGACAAATGCCCATAATTAACAATTGTAAACCGCTTTGAGACTCAGATCTGCAGTGAAAAGGCGGTATATAAATAAAGATTACATCAATATTGAGTGGGACTGTAAATAAGAGAAAAAGTAGCATCTCACAAGAGCAGAGTTGTTATTTGTTTTTTTTTCTCAAAGTCATATTGAGGCAGTCATATTAAAATAAAACCATAATAATCACATTCTTTCTTAGTACTCACTGACTAAAACAAATCAAGTTTTAAAACCACTAACTCCAACATACTCTGGAGCCAAAGAAATAGATCTTGGTAAAAAAGTAGATTGCTTTTAATTGAAACATTTTTAAAAATCTGTTAAATCAGTAAATTTAACTAATTTAGGTTTTTACGTATGTATCAGTGTTTTTTATATATAAGTATAAGATGCATTATGGACAATTCACGGTATTATTTTTTTGTAATGGATATTGGAAACTACTTTCTGACACTTGCTGACTATTGTTCCCCTTTTGCTTCACCCTGTATGGCTTCTTACACCAACCACGTGTTTTTCACAGAGCTGTCAATGAAATGATGGACAAGGAGTGTGTTCGTGTGAGCTGCTTGTTTGTTAACTGGTAAAAAAAAAAGGCCTAGACAATGCAAATGTGTCTTTGGTCCAGACATAAGTGCATTCCTGTGGCCTGGGCCGACTCTCCTGGACGATGGTGAGAGTGTGTGTGGCCATGGGGGTCACACAGCGGGGGTCTGGGCTGTGTGCTGCAGCTCCAACAAAAGAGTCAACAGAGAGGTGTAGCTCAGGGGTGTCCAAACATGTTACAGCAATGGTCACATGCTAAATGACAGAAGAAGTAGACATTTAAAAACAATAAACATGTTACAATTTCTTATGGTTGACCCTTAACGAAGGCCGTAGCAAAAAGCTTCAGACGCCATGAGACAATGTTGACATTATACAAGGTAACAAAAATTCAATATGGACAGGCTTATGAAGGGCCTGTTAGAAATGCTCGGAGGGATGCAATTATACCGGGGCCAGTTAGTGCTTCTCAAATGTATTTTTACAGCTTGAACTTTTGCAAATATTGTGCAGATTGTGCTTGGTTTTTTTTGTACTAAACCGGTACAGTAATGGACAACTGTGAAGTGAAAGTAAAAGGATTTATGATTGAGTGGATTAAATTGCCTTTAAATCATTTGTAATGACAGGTGAATGTTCACAACTTCTCTCTTGTGTATAATCTACTGTCAGTATAAATACAGATGTTGTGTGAGGGCCTCAGAGCTATGGTCGGAGTGTGTTTGTCACTAAACATCATGAGGCCAAGGAGGATGACTGTGAAAGAGCTGTGCAGTGCTCGAGATGGGGGAATCTGTACATGGGACTATCAGTCATACTCTACACAAATCTAGCCTTTACGGACAAGTGGGAAGAAGAAAGCCATTATTGAACGGAGGCCATAAGAAATCCTGTTTTAAGTTTGCCACAAGTCATACTGAGGACACACCTAACATGTGGAAGAAGGTGCTTTGGTCAGATGAGACAAAAACTGAACTTTTTGGCCCAAATGCAACACATTTTATATGCCGCAAGCCTCATCGCACCTTCCCCAGTGTCTTTTAAGAAGCACTGTAGTCCAAGCACTCAATCCAAAAAAATGGTAATATCAGTGATCAATATTTTGTGCTTTTTGAAATAGGGCAAATGTCTCTAAATAATTATCAAATGTTCTTAATCCAACAGAAAGATGCTTTTAGATGTAATATAATCATTGGTTTAGGTTTAAACAAAACCAGACAATTCACAAGAAAAATAAGGAAATGGAATGAAACTTTAACCCTTGTATTTTACCTGCATTGGTTTGACCTGTTTATCCTTCACGCTTTTAAGAGTAGCACAATTAGCAACCATAATTATTATTCATTGCTTTTTATTGCACCACATTATGGAAGCTCATTAATCATGCTCTAATTATTGATTCACGAGGGAAAATAACTCGGTCACAGTGGCTCACACACAAGTTTGCATTTTTTGTTCGCCTGGCCAAAAAACTAAAACATTTGGATTGACATATTCCTAAAAGCACCCACATAATGCTTGTGTTTCTTGGCTGCTGAAGCTGGGCCATCTGCTGGGCTAATAAGTCTGATATGACATGCCAGCACTCTTTCACTGCCTGTGTGCTTGTCCTTTGACCCCCCTCCTAACGGCCTTAGAACGCTCCATAGCAGGTGTCTGTGGAGGCGGAGCGAACCATCTGTACACTGCAGGTGGGGGAGGACTCAAGTGGAACGATCAGGAATCAGATTAGAGAGAGAAGTGATACATGTGTGTTTTGTTTTACTAAAGTTGTGGGTACCTAATTTTTACAGTAGTTTATAGTTTGGTTTTATAACTTTTTTTCACATAGTTAAAACCACCCACACTCAGCCCTCAGCCCAAAGAGTCAAATTCTGACTCTGGGCTCTATACAACATGTTTTCAATCAAGTTGAAGACAGCATGTTTTGGTCTGATTTGTTCACAACATTTTCTTTTCTTTAAGTCTTTCTGTCAAGACAAACAGAATGAGATTTAGTAAAAAAATTAATAATTTAGGGACATCAAGAGAAACCATGCATCTGGATCTTGAACAATCTTGGACTTGAACAATCTGGCCAGGGCCGGTTTCCGATCAGGCCTGCTGTAAACTGCTGAGAATAATACCATCGTCCTCTTTGCATGAACATATTGTAATTTGGACCGAATTGGATTGCTGAATTTGGACATTAAAGCGGACATTTGTCATCGAAAGACACAGCAAAGAAGAGTTCTGTTCTCAAAGCAAAATGTGAAGAGCACCCTATAGACTGATAAAGTTTGGTATTTTTCCAGAGATTGTTGATGAGTTTTAAGAAAGCTCTATGATGTGATGTTGTTTTTGAATCCAATCTGATGTGTGACTGAAGGAATTTGGATCTCTTATAACACTTTTAAGCCATTTTGGTAAAGTTTGTCACTCTAACAATGCACACAGCACTGATTTTCCACTTCATGTTTTGGTTTTCTGAAGGTGAAAGCTACTGGGATCCGTGGCAGTTGCTGATTGGACGGTCTATGAGTCCTTCATGGTATAATATCATATGTACACAGCAGTTCTTTGGTCATGTCTTTAGGTGGTCAGATGGCACCTAAAGCCCGGTTCTAATCGCGAAGCGGATCCTGGCACACTTTAACCGGGCTTTAGGCTGCGCATGTGACCACAGCCTTAGCAATATCAATATAAGTCTTCTGTCTGTGGCGCTACCCCCGTGTAATTTTCTTCACATGTATTGCCGTGAATCACAACAGTTGAATTCGCAAACACAGAGAATCAAATAGTTTAAACACAAGACATGCAATGATAGAAAAAACATTGGTATTGGTTCATAAGGGGCAGATGACCAATGTCCGTAAATGTTGTTGAATGTAGAGTGTCCTGACAGTTGCAGCAGTACTCTAACTTTAAGTTATGAGAGAACTTAATCAATATACAAAACATGCTTTTTTTGCATAGTTTTAATGTATAATGTTTTATTTTTATGTAAAGATTTGCTAGATGGCTCACAATGTATTATTTGGGGAATTAAAGTTATGTACCTGATATTTACATCATTCCATCTTCAAGTAATGAAATTATATTGCTTTGAATAGGAATGGATTAAAGATACTGAGTAAACCGCTCACAATTCCAAAATAGAGGTGATTGTGAGTAGGTGTGCACTTTGACGCAGTGTGGCTAATTCTGCTGGGCCCTCCTGTGTCCTGTCGTGTCCATGATAATGACCTGGAACCAGAGCCTGCAGGGGAACAATCCACCACTATAACAAACACTAAACAACTCAGCAGGAGCCACACTAAAGCCATTCACCAGACAGCCACTATCACGTCTTTCTTTAAACATTCAAAACTATAAAATAAGTTATTTAAGGATAAACTGGTTGAGTTCATGGTCTCAGGTTTTATATATGTGAAATCCTATGACAATTGGCAGCAATTGTGGTGTATTAGAGTTCCATCTTATGACGGCTAAGGACGAGACCCGGGGCCTTCTCTGGGGCTGGACCCCATGTTTGAAATGTGTTTTAAGTCGTTAGTTGTCAGTGGTCCTGACTGCCCTCTTCTGGACAATAGTATGTATCAGTGGGATT